GAGGACGAGGACACACACACACACACACACACACACACACACACACACACACACACACACACACACACACACACACACACACACACACAAACTCACTCACCTGGCGATGGCGACGTGGAGCAGGCAAGGGCGACGGGCATCACTGGACAAGCGGGCGACAGGCAGCGGTCGACAAGCCGTGGAGGGTTTGCCGTCTGCCAAGAAGCGCCGCGGAATTTTGCGCTGGCATTCGAAATGCAATGCCTGCGCGAAATCTCGCGGCGACCCTTGCCAAACGGAAAAAAAGGGCAATTTCGCTTTTCTTTTTTTCTCCGTGGGGCCGGTAGGGCCTCCACGCGAATTGTTTTTCGTGGTCTGCAAGGCCCTCTATACCCCCCCCCCCTGCCCCAGCCACCCCCAGCTGCATTTTTCAATTTTTTTTTTTGGTGCGGCGGAGAGCACCGGGGGCCTCGTCCGGGCCTCATGCCCGGCCGGGCACCCGAGTGCCGTTCCGGGCGTGGTCTGGGGACCTGGACGCCCGGGAAATCAGCCTAGATAAGATCTCCTTTCTGGTTGAAAGATGCATTATTTTGCTTTTGACATGATCCTAATTATGGTAGTAATTGTTGTTTGTATTTGCTGTTTAATGGAATGAATAAATTATGGGCAATCCAATCGTGCTGCTTCCAGTTCATAGGTATATCTCCTCATCCATATTGCCCACATAAGTGCCCTCCTCCCAACCAAAAAACTTTAAAAAAGGTTTCGGGTAAAATCATCCAAGTGGTCCGAGCTCCAAGACTCAAGTAGGAGTGCCTTCCACTCCCATGGTCATGGCTGGATGTTTCTAGAAGATTCCAAATCCTGTCCCACCATCGCCATAACCAAACAGCACCTGGACATTGAAGAAAAATATGCTCAATGGTTCCGGGATGAGCTTTGATGGGGATGCAGATTTACAAAACCTACACCATGGCAAAGCTAGACCTCTCTGTTCTAGTGTGGGTCTGTCTATGATCCAGTCATTCGTTGGCAGACACCGATCATTGGCAATTTGCCATTGCAAGGATGCCATGTTAGCTGGTTTGGATCTAATGGACTGGAACCATTTGACCGAGCGAAAAACGCCCCTATTGGGCCTATTCACATTTAAATGCTTCATCCACCGGGCCTCAATTCTATCCTTAATATTAACTTTTGGCGGAAGCATCCTATAGGAAGATTTAACCTTCAGTGTGTGAAGGGAAAAGAGGAGGACCTTCTTCTCCCTCCTGTAGATGGCCAGGTATTGTTGTTGTAGTGTAATCTATTTTAGTGTTTTTTTTTTTTTTTTTTTTTTTTTTTAATACAAACCGGGCCCAGTGCTCAATGCTGATTCTACGAATAAGAAGATTGAGGCCGGGGTCCTCACAGTCTACCCGGAAAGACCGAACCAAACAAGCTGAGAACCGGGCTCAGCGTCCCTCATATAATGATGATGATGATGATGATGATGATGATGATGAACTTCTAATGATTGTATGAGAATTGTGAGATAATGATACTAATGATGATGATGCTAATGATGATGGTGATTAGTATGTAGAAAATCTTAGTGAGCAAATCTGGCCTTCTAATCCTAGAAAAACCCCTATCCCTCCCTGAGTCAGGACATTACATCTCAGAGACAATGCCATCCTAGCCAACATCAACCATAACTATCCTGTTCTCGCCACCTAGAGACAATGCCATCCTAGCCAACATCAACCATAACTATCCTGTTCTCGCCACCTAGACTAAACCTGGACCCATAGGCTGTCCTGGTAGCACCCGCCAGTTCACCACTGGATTGTCTTCCTCCCTCGACTAATCCCCAGATCTCTCTACAAGGCCCCACACTCCTGTCGTTTGCAGGTTACAGGGCAACGCCCCAGCTCCGGCCAGCGTCGTTCTGGCATTGGCGTACCAGGGGCACAGAACAAAGCAAGTTAAGCAACTAATCTATCTTATTCCACCAGGAGTTGGAGCTTCTTATCTATACCCTTAGTAAGGCAGGTCTCGCGTAACGTCCCCGCGAGGCCAGACATACAGTGTTGGGAAAGCGCTCGGGACAGGGGGGCACGGGCCCAGCAGAAACCGGCAGTCGCGCTGTGACCTTTTTGAGTGTGGCACAGCGTCACGTGTTCGAATACAAGTACACAGTGCAGCGTTTGTTGGGTCTTCAGTGCACCGGTCTTTTTTTGTCCTGTCCTTTTCTGGAAGTTTCTTGCATGGTGCTGTTTTTTTTTCTGTGGCCTGTGGCAATGTATCAGGGCGCCGTTTCATTTGCTGATTTCGTTTTCTCCTTTTTTTGGCCTGCAGGCGTCGGTGCATGACTCTCCACATGTGCAAAAGACAAAAAAGATGGCAACGTATCTTTTCATGTTCTAGGGGTGGATGCAGTCTCATCTTGCACATGTGGAGAGTCGTGCAGCAACTCCCTGTGGCGCCCGTAGGACCCTGTGTGGCCTGCAGGCCTTGCTGCACTGCTCTCCACATGCGCAAAAGACAATAAAGATGGCAATGTATCTGTCCATGTTCTAACGGTGGATTCAGTCTCATTTTGCACATTTCGACAGTAGTGCAGCGATGCCCTGTGGTGCCCATTCGAACCGTGCTGGGCATCGTTTCATTTGCTGATCAGTGATTTCGTTGTTGTTGTTTTTTTTTTCTTTTTTGGGGGGGTGGTGGGTTGTTGACTGGGTTCACTATACCACCCACCCCATGACATGACCCTTCTTCGCGTTTCGTCTCAGCTTCGCCACGGGGGGCGGGGGGCGACTTGTTATTATAAAGAAACAGTTTTTTATTAGCAGGGCCCAGTGCCCAAGGCTACGCCCACAGCTGCCATAAGGGGTCAGTGGGGTTGTCCTACTCCACCCGGATCTCCAACCCCCGCCCCCCCAAGAGAGAGTTGCCGTTCTCATGAAACCCAGCGACGACCCTGCCAAACGTTCTTCGGCCGTACCAAACCTTCTTCTATGATCCCCGCAAAAAGAATCCAAAGGAAAATTCTACAGATTCTCGGTCCACACGCACCAATCCTGGGTACGCCGCCCAATGCTGCAAAAACCATTCTAATTTCTAACCCTTTGGTAACCAGGCCAACCCGACCTGCCTTCCTAGACCAATCTCTCTCTCTACAACCAGCCTGAGAGCCTGTGACTCCTGCGAAGGCACAGCCTCACCTCGCCAACACACAGTTATTCCTTGCCTTCCAAATCGTCCACCCACACTGTCGCTCCTCGAATCGCCTCAAAGAGATATTGATCAGAGGGGG